CCCCACACACACACAGGTACGCCGGCGTGCTGTTTGGAATCACCAACTTTATCTCCACAATACCTGGCACACTGGCGCCAATTGTCACAGGGAAGCTCACACCAAACGTGAGTTTTTCTATTGGTTGGCTTTCTTTATAAGGCCAATGACACCTTGCTGGCTTAGTTGACCATGGTCGTTACGCAGGTTTAACGACACCCCTTTCAGTACTGGAAAGGTAATTAAGAGGCTGGATCTGTCTCGGTTATCAAGCGGTGGAATTTCTGAATTTAAGGGTTTTTTTCAGTCGTTTGATAGGTGGAATCTCTGAATTTGACGTCTAGCTCCGATATCACTGTGCTAAGTGGGTGGACAGCCTTAAAACTCCCTAAAACGTCCATCGGTCAGAATGTATTGTTGGAGATTCGAACCAGGATCATCCACTCTGTAGACCAGTATGATACCAACTGAGCTGTTACTACGTCCCCGAATGAGTTGTAGGTCTTATCTTCCGAAGATATTCTTATTGAGAGTGTGCATACTTCCTGTCTGACAAAGCTGGGGGGGGGTAACATTACGACAACGTGGAGGTCACAGGTCACTCAAGTTGATTTCCGTTTGGCAGGTGGGCGTACATTGGTTAGTGCTGGTTTACAACTCGATCTTTTTGGGTTATAGTTGACAAGTGGGGTATTGAAGGACACCACTGTTAAATCCAACTTCTTTTTTTTACCTCTGTTTTTTTTTCTATCTAGTCGGAGGGTGCCACTGGAAAGCGTTAGCCTGTCCATCAATGCCGATTCATCCGAGAACAGCGCGCACACACGTTTAGGTTCTTTGATTTCTCACAAAATTTTGCCAAGTCTGATTTCTTAAGGTAACTTTGAATGACTATAACATGTCGAGGAGATCGAGCTTTGGGCAGTCGGGGAGGGACGACGAGGATGATATCTGAACATGCAGATGACCTCGTTACAACAGAAACTCTCCCTATTCTGTATCAAATATGGACATTCATTTCGGATGTCCTGCCTCATAAACAACCTTACAATGTTACAAGGAAGGTTAAAACCTATACAATTTTAAATATCCTGTATTGTGCTGAAAGTGGCCTTACATCTGTACAATTTCAAGGGCATTAACTTACGCCTATGAATTTAAATTAACCCAACAACGTTGCAAAGAGAGTTAAAAGTATTAATTTCCAATAACCTTACACTGTTGCATGAGACGTTATACCTTATTTTGCACATTTTTGGCTCTTCCCCCCCCCCCCTCTCCCAGAACTACCAGTCCGAGTGGCGCACTGTCTTCTACTTGTGTGGGGCGTTCACACTCATCGGCACTATTATCTTCGGGGGTTTCGCGTCCGGAGAGATCCAGCCGTGGGCTGTCGGGGACGAGGAGGATGACCTCAACATGGAGATGACCGTCAAACCAGACTCAGCAGACGCCAAAATGGACAATGGCGGCCACAATAACCTGGCGTTTTCCAAACTGGACGAGAAAAAGGAGAAATCTACAGACTAAGAGGATTAGTAGTATAAGTAACAATAAAAAACAAAACAAACACAATCAAAAGCAAAGAGTTAAAAAAATCAGAACACTCAGAACACGAAAAACAAAAACAAACATGCATATAATAAAAACAAACTAACAAACAAAAAAGCAAAAGCAAAAAGAGACAAAAAACCCCACAACAAATAAAACAAACAAAACAAAAACAACGAAAACCCAAAACAAACAAAACAACCATTAAACAAATAAATAAGCCAAAATGAAACAAGAACAAACAAACAACCAAAGGTACAGCAAAACTGTAACAGTGAAAGAGATGCAGGTCTGCTTACCTCAAAATCCCCGTTTCATGTAATTTCGGGGTCAGTTTCAGGTATTTTGGCCAAAAATCAGGCAGTATATTATTATAGACAAAGAAGGGAAAAAAAAAAGATGATCGTTTCCCCAGTAACCATCGAACGGCGCTTGCTTATCGTGGTATTGGGTAATTATATTTTGAAAACTTGTTTGTGCATGTGTTCCGCACGATTTACCAATCAGCGCAATCTTAAGATTGCACTGCGCGTTTTAAAGATCGTATAATTGTATAATTCTTGTGAGCTCTTCAGTTTCGTATCTTGATTTTCATTTTCATTTTCATATTTTTATACTTTTGAAAATATACGTGAATGTTCCTTGATGTGAGTAAAGGAATAAAAATGGAAATGAATTTTAAAAAAATTAAAAAAATGAAATGTACTTTGTGAGCTTTGAGCTTGATACCTGGCATTGTATCATTCTTGTGAGCTCTTCAGTTTCATACGTCAATTTTGATCTTAATTTTAATTTTCATATTTTTACATCTTTGAAAATACATGAATGTTCCTTGATGTGAGTAAAAGAATAAAGATGGAAGTGAATTTAAAAAAAATATTTCCAAAATTTAAAATATTAACGCAATCTCCAGATTGCCGTGCAATTATACGATCGTTAAATTTCGCTGAACAAAATATAATAATAGTAATAATAATGAAGATCATTTCTATAGCGCCCACTCCCGTGTGAACACAGCTCTAGGCGCTTTACATAAATGCATGCAGGAACAATAATCACGCACGCACGCACACACACATGCACACACATTCACACACACACACACACACACACACACACATACATACACACACACACACACACACACATACACACACACAAATACACACACATCTACTTTCTTATCACACGCACACGCTTACACATTGTTGCGAAATGAGCACATACAAATAAATAATAAAAGAATATACACAATGCAATTTGCAAAATACATACATGGATACAGTTATTTACATAATATTGAACTGAGCATGGATCTAATGACATAAAAATAATGTCGTTAAATGTGTTTTAAAAGATATTTTAAATTTAGACTTAGATGTTGCATATCTCAAGAGTTGGGGAAGAGAGTTCCAAATTGATGGGGCAAGGTGGGCGAACGATCTTTCAGCTATTTTTCCCCCTCCTTTTCTAGGAACTCTTAAAAGATACTGATCGCCTGATCTTAGTGATCTAGACAGAACATAAATCTGGATGAGAACACTAAGATATGAGGGAGCTTTGTTATTGACACGTTTATGACATGCCATTGCAATCTTATATGACATTCTAACTGACACGGGAAGCCAATGCCACGTTCCGAACATGGAGTAATGTGATCCCTCTTTTTTTCTTTAGTACAAGCCTAGCAGCATGATTTTGAAAACAGTGTGACTTGTGAAGAGTGGTATTTGGTAAGTAAAGCATTGCAATATTCGATGCGTGAAAACAAGAAAGATGACAGTCGCGTTTTCAATGAGTGTTCATTCAAAAACATATACATAGATTCTATGACCAATTCTACGCAATTCACAAAATTTAATGATACATAAATAATTGATATGATTTTCCATTGACAATTCTGAATCAAAATACACCCCTAAATTATTTTGCCTTATCAGTAAAATACAGTTTTTCATTTTCAGTGCAAACATGAGAGAATTTCAGTTTTATTTTAATTAAATTTGAGCTTATTATCAACCATCCAGTTCGTGACATCGTTAATGCACAGGACCATGGTGGTAAGCAAGGTTTTAACATCTGGTGGTGGAACAGATGTGTATAACTCTGTATCGTCTGCGTACATGTGATAATTTATATTGTGCTTTCTGATCACAGCTCCAAGCGGCTGTGTATATAACGTATACAAGATTGAACCCAATACTGAACCTTGAGGCACTCCTAAGTCTAGTTTAAAAATGAAAGAGAGTCGTGCACAACCACAATTGTGTAGGGCCAATCAGGTAGGACCTGAACCAGTCAAGAACCATGCCAGAAAGGCCAAACGTGTTGAACAATTGTTCAATAAGAATAGTGTGATCTATAGTGTCAAAGGCAGCTCTTAGATCAAGAAGAGAAAGAATTAAAAGTTTGTTCTCATCCGCCTCACACAAGAGGTCGTTATATATTTTTAATGGCGCAGTTTCTGTGTTATGAAATTGCCGAAAAGCAGATTGATATAATTCATATAAATTGTTTTCTTTTAAATGATTATTCAATTGAATCAAAACATCTTTCTCTGTGATTTTTAAAATAAAAAAGGTTAGGTTGGAGACGGGTCTGAAATTCTTGAGCTCCTCGGGGGATAGATTTGATTTTTTAAGAAGGGGAATAACTAAGGCATGCTTAAACAGTGATGGTACTACTACAGACTGAAGAGACTCATTAATGATGGAAGTTATAAATCCAATGACACTATCACGATGTGTGATAAGCAGTGGTGTTAGAATGGGATCAAAACTACATGTTTTATAAGGTGATGACATTGTGATTGATCTAACATCTTCTTGTGTTACACGTACAAATTCATTAAAGCTTGCCCCAGAGAATGTTTCAAAACATGGTTGTTTATGGGGAGTCATATCAATTTTTGTCATACTCATGGATACCTTGTCTTTAAAGTATTAACCAAAAACACCAGGAAGGTCCCTTTTAGGTACATTCGTGGGAAACTTGTTGCTGGCCAGGTTTTTCTTACCAGACAACTGATTTGTTATACAAAATAAAGCTTTAGAGATGGCTCATTCTTTAATTTTTCTGTTATAATACATGGATTTCACAGATGTTATTTATGATTTTACTTTGTTGTTACAGTGTCTATAAACTATAAATGTCCTCATGAATTTCTAGCTTGGTTGATCTCCTGCGTCTCTTAACTCGTCTACGTTCCATTTTTGCTTGTTTAATTTCTAAAGTCATCCACGGGGCAGAAGGTTGATCAGTCACTGCTCTTGATTTGACTGGCGTATGTTGGTTTAGTAGTTGACACATCTTGGTGGTGAGAACGTGTCTACCTTCTCGGAGGCTAAACCGTGTATGAATTTCAATAGTTGGCGAACGTCCGCTCCAAACTTTTCATTATCAATATCCGTTTTCCGGGTTGTTATTTTGCTATGTCTCAGTTTGGGCTTCCCTGTTCGAGTTATTTCAAAGGACACCACGTTATGATGAGAAATGCATTTAATTTTATTCTTTACTTGAATGTCACCGATTGTATTGACATTGTCCGTAATCACCCAATCTAAGGTGTGTTTTTTATGTGAGTGGGGACATCGATGATTTGATAGAAACCACGAGTCTCTAGAATAGATTTGATAGATCTAACATTAGTGTCTAAGGTATATTCAAAATGTAAATTAAAGTCCTCTAAAATTATAGTCTGTGTCTTCTTGGTGATATATGCAGGTCTAGTAAATCCTGGAATTCAATAATGAAATCTTTAATTTTCAGTTTGTTTCTCCTGCTGGGAGGTGGTCGATAGACACAGACAAATATGATGGGACACCCTTCAATATGTAGACTGACCTCACAACATTCTGACGTTTTAAAAAAGGGCATTTCTCATTCTGTGGAGTGATGTTTATAGATCCTTTATAAATGACGCTTAACCCTCCTCCTCGACCATTTCATGGGACGGAGAAGGACTTGTATCCCGGTGGAGTTAGGCCGGCAATAATGATTTCATCTCAGACGTTCCGCAACCATGACTCCGTAAAAATGCGATACCGGAGTTAGACTCATGTATTACATGATTGAGTAAGACGGTCTTTTCTTTAGGTTGACTGGGTGTTCAGTAGAATAATTTTAAGATTACTTGCCAAGTCAGTTAAGGTGTTTTTTGTGTCAAGGGCAATTAAGTTCATGGGAATACTGAAGCTTCGAGGTTCATTGAAACTAACACACCTATTCCCTGTGACAACAACGATTGGTCTTCGTTTTCTTCTACCTCCTCGTCTCCCCCTCTTGTATTTTTTAACTTTGCCAGCTGAGTCTTTAGATCTTTCAATGCGAAGCTGATACAAGCAAACGGCTGTTTCATATGAAATGTCATGTGTCTTTTTGTTTACAAACAATAACTGGTCTCTAGTGTTGCACACCTTTGTAGATCCCGCACGAGGACTCAAAACACACACCGGACTCACAGCTTGACAGTGTTCACTAACACTATTCGGAACAATGTTGGCAAAACTATTAACATTATAAACGGGGTGGGGTTAGGTGGTTAGTGTAAAGGTTGAAAATGGCCAAAGCCAAGGATAGAACTTCCATAACGAAACAATATAGTTCTTGCAAATAGTTGGTAATTTGTGATCAAGCCCTAATAAAGATAACACCAAAAGCACAAAGGTTTCTTATTAATTATCCTGTACTGTATGCCAACTTGAGAAGCCACAATCCATCAACAAGATACGAAAAAGACAAAACAATTACAGAGCAAGAAAAACGTCAGGCGTTGAACACCTACTACATTGTGTGTGTATGTGTGTGTGTGTGTGTGTGTGTGTGTGTGTGTGTGTGTGTGTGTGTGTGTGTGTGTGTGTGTGTGTGTGTGTGTGTGTGTGTGTGTGTGTGTGTGTGTGTGTGTGTGTGTGTGTGTGTGTGTGTGTGTGTGTGTGTGTGTGTGTGTGTGTGTGTGCCCGCGATGTGTTTACATACGTGGGGAGGGGAGCGGGGAGTTTGGGTGTGCTTAAGTTAAGGTGAACAATGTTTATGAAATGAGGTGAGTTTTTATTTTATTATTTTTTAAAACATATTTTAAAAAG